AATGCCTTCAGGGCACTTTTGGCTGGCTGGAGTGTTGTGGGGATCGATCTACAGCAACCTGAGGCTGCCAGCATTGTGGAAGCAGCCACTTAAAGAACCGAGCTAGGGCCAGGCCCGCCCAACTGATTATTTTTGTAAGTCAAGTATGATCATTTCTAACATCCAGAGACATGAAAACAAAGTAGAGGGCACAGGAAATGTAGCCATCTATAATCTTTTAACCTTTTATTCTACTTCTTATATTTTCAAATCTTTGTCATATCATAATGAATGTAAAAATACATTCATAATATTTTCTTTGTTTCTGAAAGATTTTAGAAAATTTGAGCAATATTATTTATATATTGTAATTTATCTTTTTCCATAATAATGTATTTTGGAGATAAAGATACATGCTCACTTTTTAAATGCCTACATTGTATTTAACTGAATAACATAATACATATTTTGAATAATTTTCTACTGGTGAATATTTAGTTTCACTATGGGGTTTTGGCACTGTCCTTGTGCTATTGTCCAAATTGTTCCCTTTTATTAATTTTTTGGTTTAAAAATATGCTCATTTTTATGGGTTCTTGTGTTCTTTAACTACCCAGGAGTCAGACAAGGAAATGTGTTATCATTGCTTTTTTAGCTCCTGAATAAGCTAAAAGATCTATGAATTTTGGAAGAGGAAGAATATAACAATTATAAAACTCTGTTCTTCTGTCAGTCAGCTTCTGGTCTTAAGATTGAGATGAGAAAACAGTAGGCTCCTTTGCTCCACCCACGTTTGCTGTGTCCCCTGGCAGAGGCCTTGCAAGAGCATGATGGAACTACACATATTGGTGGCTGTGTTTGGTCCCCGTGTGGGGCTTCATCAGTTTCAGGAATATCTTTTGCTCCTCATAGCCTGCTATGCCATAGCCAGTATTCAGATGGCTTTCCATGCTAATAACAGTACTGTTTATTTCCTCATTTTAGGCTAAAGAAATGTCAACTATTGGGAGTTTTGAGGGTTTCCAGCCTGTGTCACTGAATCAAGAGGGAGAAGACCAGCCATCAGAGACAGAGCACCTGTCTGTGGAGGAGGAGGAGGACCCAGGCAATGGCCAAAAGCTGGGGCAGATTTCACGACAGTTGAGTGTGACCAAGTCAACACTTTACCCCAATCCTTACCATAAGCCATACATCTCCAGGACGTACTTTGCTACAAGGGTAAAATACTTGATTCTTTTAAATAGTATGTAAAACTGCTCCTTGAAACAGTCTTAATGTCTTTCTATGTGCCAAGTATTATGCTAAGTGGCCATAGATTTTTTTAATCTTTTGTAATAATCATCATGAATTCTGATGGTGACACCCATATCTCCATGGTGCAGAGAGAGGACCTGCGCCTCAGAGGAGCTGAGGCTGTTTCTGATCACCCAGAACAAGGAGAAACTGTTTCTCCAGTCCCTTGGGTTTGGAGCTTTGGTTAGTCAGTCCTGTGTTCCTGCTATATCTGGCATCGCAAGGCTAATCTTTTTGGGGAGAAAATCTGTAACATAGCAGCTAGAATGTACAGCTGTGAGCTGTTCTTTGCATGGAAAAGACACAAGCTGTGCAGTGGAAAGGGTTGCTGAGAGTGGACTGAGTCTCTAGAAGGCTGCTGTTACAGAATGTGATTGCAGCTCTCAGCAATCTCAAGCCTGCAGCGGAGGCACAGAGGCAGGATCTTTCCCCTGTACAGTGCAGTCCAGAAAGTGAACAGTTGTACAGAGGAGTGTTAAGATGAGACCTGAAGCTTCTGGCATTTGGACAAGTGGAGCGTGCTTCCTGAGCTCTAGTGTCTCTCTCAGCTGAGCTTCCTCTTCTGCTTATTGGTCTCTTTCCCCAAGCTTCAGTGTTCTTATTAACACAGCAGTGCTTAGCTCATAGGCTTAAGTTAGTTGGCAGTGAAGTTGAAGCACATGACTTGTGACAGTAGAAGTTACCTCCACTTCTTTCTATTCTACATGTATTTTTCAACTCAATATCATAAATAAGTAAAGGCTAAGATTTTATGACTATCTACAAAGCTTTAGTCAATGCATCTTGATTTGGTAGACTTAAACATGTATCCTTAAAGTTTTGACTAAAGCAACTCAATGTGTGTGCCTTAAAATTACACAGATTCCTATACACACGATACCCTGATATGTGCTATATTAGCTACACTGTATGTATATTTTTATGAGTGTTTTGTATATGTCAAGCACATGGTCTGCTTTTTTCAAAATATGTGAACTTTATTGAAAATTCAAAGTTAAGTTGCAAGATAAAGTTGCAAAGGAAATCCAGATATTCTTTGGAGTCTGAATGCCTTTGACACTGATGATGTCACAGTTTTATGAGGCAAACACAGAAATATATCATGAAGGATTTAATCACAGGGACTTGGTATATTTATGAGAGTTGGCTGAAAAGTCTATGCAAAATTGTTGTCTTTGCACCTGCCGATGGAGCTGAAGTTGGAATGAGTCAAGCAACGAGCAGTTATGAATTGGGAATAGGGAACAGTAAACAGGGGAAAACTGCATGCCAGAACTGGAATCCCTCATGACAAAGTGTAAATCACGAGGAAAAACTGGAAGCTGTGTGTGTACAGTATACCTCTAACCACTCGCCGCTGAGCTGCAACCTTTGCCAACCTAGGTGGGGGAGGGTGGGTAGGGAGCCAGTCTGTGATAGGAGGAGAGGTAGGTCCAGGTGCTGTCGGTTTCCATCAAGGGGACCAGGACGCATGTGCCACCACAAACACAGCCAAGTGCACCAAGCCTCTGCAAGGAAATGAGTGAGTGTTTCACTCATTTCTCTTGTGAGTGTTTTATATTTCTCTTGTGTTTCTGGAGTCTTACACAGGGATCTTGTGTGGCCAACTCATTTGGAGTCCTACAGGAAAGTACTTTCTAGAAAATGTCATTCCAGCTTAGTTAAAATGACACAGTCCAAAGCCACTACCTGTTATTATATGTTGCTTAGAGCTTTTGTTTTTGTGGCTCTGTATGTCTTATGTAATAAACTCCCAGGCTTTGTTTTGTCCCCTGATACAACACTGTGCCATATGCCAAGGAACACTTGCCATCTTTGCTTTCACAATGAGTGTCTTAAAATTTCTGAGGACTTAATTCTTCACTCTGAGTCAAATACTATTAGTAGAAGAGCTGCAGCTAGAGTTTGAATCTTATGACTACAGGATCAATGCTCTTCCTATAAAACACAATTGAATGTGTGGCACTTTTATTAAAGTTTTCAGTGAATAACTCCAGTCAATGAGAAGAGCACATTTTTCATTAGATATATAGCAATGTATAGCATTAAATTCTCAAAAAATTTGAGGGAAAGCCTTCTACTTTTACTAGTGAGTCTAATGTGAGCCAGAGACTCCAGTGGGTCTGAGTTTGTGATTCATCAGGTGTTCAGCATTTTTCTCTTTCACATTAACAAACATTATCTGAGCTCTTTTGGGTATGAATGTGTATTAACATATAAGAAAGAAGATACAACCATTGGCTCAACTAAAACTTGTTATTATAAATATTTATAATAAATAAAAAAGATCCAGTTCAACTATAGATCAGCTCATGATGTCATTCAATATACGAAAAAGAGTTTGTATGTATGTGTGCATGTGTGTGTGTGTATGCATGTGTGTATCAATTTCTTTAATTCCTTGCCCTGCAAAATGTGGATGAAAACCAAGTTCATATGAAGGTTTAAATAACCCAACATTATAAAAGTCATTTGAGTCGAAGATACATCTATGAACACTTCCTAAATGACATCTCATTGATATTATGACCACTTTATGTGTTTTGTTTATATTCGCCTTTCTATAATTCGTCATAAAGAATGGCACTATGGTCTCACCATGGCCTCTGGGGTGAGATATAAATGTAGCTGTATAAGAGCCAGGCAGCAAAGAGGAGTAGTTTCTTGTTTCTGAGGGATAATTAATGAGATCAAGACCCTTAAAGTTTGAGTTCTACAAAGTTTTCATAAAGTATCTCTTGGGGCAGGCCAGATAGCTCGGAGGACTAAAGTACCTACTTAGGCAGAGTGCACCAGTGGGGTTCGATTCCTGACATGCTGTGCTGGTCCCACCCTCAGGGTGCACTGAGAAGATGATTGAGTCTGGGCGTGGTGGTGTGTGCCTGTAATCCCAGCATGTGGGGGGCTGAAAACAGGAGAATCGCTATGAGTCCAATCTGTAGTGAGACCCTGTAGACCCTGTACTAAATACATGCAAAAAAAAGCATCACTTCTCAGAGTTGAAATGAGACCGAAGACACTGTAGTCTATGCCTGTCAGTCTTTACCATGCAAGCAAATCAGATGCTGCAAATCCTCCTGCAAAACAGATGCTTTCTGTCCACTGACCACATGTAGTTCACCAGGAAGCTTTTCAATCCCCATTTTCAGGGAGAAATAAGGCCTGGGGGGCTTCTTTGCTTCATGGTGCAACAATTAGGGAACTTGAACTTTCCAAAAGGCTAGCATTTCTATTCATTGCAGATTAAGAATTTAAAGGATATGTTTTGCAAATTCAGAAAGGCAGCTAGTGGGTGGAAGAATTTCTTGGTCATTTTTTTTTTTTTTTGGTTAAAATGTTTCCAAATTATTTGTACAGGAAGTGGTTTATTGATGAAAAGTAGGAAAATGTGGATAAGCAAAATAAAAGTCATTGCAATCCCATGGCTCCGAGTTAACCAACATGTACTGAGTGCACTATTATACATTTGGGCACATATCTTCTCTTGCTGATTTCTTATATATATAATTTTTTGTTTAAAAATGTAGTTATATGCTAAACATTATTTCCTATGGCAGCAGTAGGCTTCATAAAATCATTTTTAATAGCTCCATTATATCTCGCTGTGGAGAAATACTACAATTTCTTTAATTCTTCCTGGAGATTTAGGTTGCTTCCTCTTTGATCATTTACTCTGGGAAAGAAAGTTATTCCTTGTCATTCTGTGGCAGGATGACAATCAGTTTCTCAGATGTCTCAGGAAGAGACATATATTGTTGTAATAAAAAAAAAAACAATTAAGCTGGCTTTACAAAGGGTTGACTGATACTGAAATATAAATTAATTCTTGACAAAGGGCAATCTTAGAATTGTCATCTCACATGTTAGAACATGTGCCTGAATATCCGGTCATAAGAGAACTCAGTCTCTTCCCTTAGACTTCTTGTATTCTTCACTGGTTAGTCAGAGAGGAGACATCTTTCCCCTAGGCTTCCTGCCTATTATTTATGTGCTGAAACTGGACCCCTCTGATGTAGTGTAGGAGATTTCTGCACAGAGCCAGAGGTCTTGGTAACATGGAATCCAACCCCTGGGGTCCACAAGGAAAATGGTATACCCTCAAGGTCAGTCAACAACTTGGGAACCACTCTAAGCCTGGAAGGCAGGTCTGGAATCTGGAACTTCTGACCTTTCCTTTCAAACTGCATTGCCTCTGACATTGAAAAAAAAATTAAGGGTCCAAGAAATGAAGGTCTAACTCCCTCCTATCAGTATACACAGATAACCTTTCCCTACTCTTTCAGTTCATCTGCTATTATTGCTTAGACATATATAAAAAAGACCCAGTTCTTTCCCTGAACAAAAGTATTCTTCAAGGCTAAAAACTGGAGGTATATTATGATAATTGTCTTAGTTATAGAGACTGATATTCAAAAGCAAGTTCTTATGAAAGGAACAATACTCAATCCACATGGGGAAAGATATTTTTAAACTCCCTATAGGATTCTATATTTGCAGATACCTTATCAGAAAGTTGAAAGCAATTTGGGATGGGGAATTATCTCTAAATTTATACTTGAGAATGTAAATTACATACAAACTAATGGGACTAAAACTATTTGATCTTTTAATATTTAATGAATGGTTCCCCGTGGCCTTTTTATAGCCTGTGTTCTATTGTGAGCAATGAGACTTTAATAAGCAGTTTCGGGGCTTCCCATTGTGGAGGGAGTTGTCACTGCTTCCGGGACACTAATCTTGCTTTCACACTCTCTCCTTTTTCCTCTTTCCTTGCTCTAGGGTTCCCTGTGTCCTGCCCTCGCACGGGAGCAAACACATTTATTGGTTTCACTGTGGTGGCCTGTGCAACTTTCTTGGGATCTGAGAGACAGAGATCTCACAGAACAAGAGTTTTTTCAACTCTTTTCTCGCACTGATATTCCTTTTGGTTTTTGTTAAAGATGAGCTTTTGTTTTGAGACCTTTAGGAATATGATAGAATGCATTGTCTTCATTTTAAAAGGCAGATCAAGTTGCCTTTAGAAATCCCACCTAATCTACAGTGGCTTCTCACCTGTAAGTTCACTGCAAAGGGATCTCCCATGTAGTGATGGCAGCCACGAGAGAAACCTTCATCTCTACTCTTTCTTTCTTTCTTTCTTTCTTTCTTTCTTTCTTTCTTTCTTTCTTTCTTTCTTTCTTTCTTTCTTTCCTTCCTTCCTTCCTTCCTTTCTTTCTTTCTTCTTTCTTTCTCTCTCTCTTTTTAATAATTTTATTGAGAAACAAATAGCAATGAGACAGTTTCAAAACTGATTAGTAGGACAGTTTCAATAATTAATACATCACACATTGTTGTGTTCTTAGTGGTTACTCATAGTACAAGAGGCAGACATGATATCTTGTCCACAAACACTATTAGAAGAAATCTTTCTATTCATTGATTTTTTTTTTTTTTGGGTGCAATTGCGGATTGAACTCAGACCTTGTGCTTGCCAGGGAAGTACGTATTCCACTGAGTCATCTACCTGGATCCTATTCATTGAATTAAGAGAAAGTAGCTGTATATCTATCCTAACTATTTTGAATATACAGAAAACCCACTACTATTATGGACTACTGGACTCTTTTGGAATATTTTGCTGAATTCAGGCACCTACAATATTTAAATGACAGTGAAATACCCTTCTCTGACAAAACTAAACAAAAAAAGGGGATATAAATGAAGGACCATTTTGTATCTGTGTATTCACACTCTTTCATGAGCATGGACAGGGGTGTTTGTGCGACTGCTGACCCTCTGAAGCCTAACTCCAGGAAATGCAAAGAAATAAGCACCTGTGCATTTGAATTCCTGAGTAGGGTTTCTCTGACCAAAGCTATTAAGTGCTGAACTATAAGAGGTGATACTACTCACAGCACTCTCTCAGAAGATGTGAACTTATTATTAGGCCATGTTTTCTTGTCTGTCTATCTTAGCAGGAGGCTCAGAGATTGTTGTTCATTTGTACTAATCCATGATCCCTAAATTCTGGTGTGATTTATTTCCATTTTGATATTAGCAATAAGGAGATGATATACAGCCTTTTATTATTCAGCTTACCACTGGTTTTATATGCACAGTTGCATATAAAACTAGCTTTGTTACAGTTACTCCTTTTTATCTGCCTGACAAGCAGGTCAGCTGATGTGTAAAATGCTGATATGACTGGCCATAGATCACATGATCATGAGAAAGACTGAAACTTAAACCTGGATGTCTGAGCACAAAACAGCATGTTTGAACATTTTTAAAAAATGTATTTCATACTTACTGGCTGAAGTTAACTTATCATAATAACAAAACTGAGGAGAGTAAAATTCTCTTCTGGAGACCCTTTCCCTTTTATGTCTTCTAAAGACTCATCTAGTGCAGTTAGTCAGGGTAAGAACAGTACAGACGATGGGAATATCCACAGAACTCGACAAGCTGCCAGCCCATTTGATACAGAGCATTTATTTTCACATTTAACTTTTGTAAATGTGTTCTCTATATTCTTTTCCCGTTTGTAGGCAACCGCTGCTCATGGTATCTGTAGATCTTTCTAGAGCTAGTTCAGGTATGTGCAAGCAAACAAAGATATTGATTCTTATCTGCTCACCTTTGTACACAGGTGGGGGCCTACAGTACCCAATCTTCTGATAATGTTTGCCTTTTACTTGATAGCATATTTTGAAAGTTGTATTAGCATCAATTTCTTTTTTTCTTTCTATAACCTCATCACATTACAGTTTACTAACTTACACCAGTAACTTGCACATAGGTATTTCTTATTTCTCCTCATTATTTACTGTTCAAAAAGAAACTACAAAGAATACTTACGCATGTATCATTTTGCACATATACAGGGATTTCTGAAATCTAACTCCACAAAGGTGACATATCTAGATCCAAGGGTAGATCATTTTTCAATTTGATAGATTTTGGCATTTACTTTCCACAGGGAATATAAATCAAGTTTTGAAAAATTCTACATTATTATATTCATTTTCACATATTTTTGGCAAAGTTCTTGGCATAAAAACCTGCAACAAAAAACATTCACTTCAGGATTAGTTCATTATTCTCCAACTCAAACTAAATTTTCTTTTCTGAAATGTATTAGCTTCACCACTGAGCTATATTTATGATGCCAAAACTATGTGAATATGGAAAGACAAAAATGTACTTAAGTCATCAAAAATGTCTTATTTTTTTGAGGACTTTGAGCCACTGGTGGAGTCACAGAACACTGCTGAGAGGTGCAGCTGAGTGAGGAAGAGTTGTCACAGGATCACAGGGAATTTCCCTCCAGCACAGGTTAACCTTGCCTGCAGGGTTGCTGGAAATGAGTGACATTGGCACAACCCTTTTTGTCACTGAAGTTCAAAGTGTTTTGATTGATGTCCCAGAATTCACTGATTTCGTGACAAACAGACTTCAGCATTCCTCGGGTACCATATTATCTTTCTGCCAACTTTCTGGTGAGCAGCAGGCAATGATAGAGAGTCAGAAATCACAGTCTGCTGGCTGTTGATCCACTCTGTGAGAAATTTATTTAAATGACACAATCAGAATCCCTCAGGGGAAAAGCTGTGATCATTTTCCCTTGGTGATTCTTGGGAAGTTCTGGTCATCAGGTTGATTCAAAACTTTTGATGTAGTCCAGTCTATTGTCTCAAAGATAAAGAAGTAAAGGTTCAGGAATTGGATATCATCAAATAATTAATTGACCACAGATTTGGAATGTGAACCAAGGCTTCCCAACTCTGTTCTGGACTTGTCCTGTCCATTCTTGGGTGATGTCCATTGTGGGGAGTGAATAGACAGTTTGGCATGGGAAGGAGGTAAGCAGGTGAAACACTCCACCCGTTACCCTCACTTCATTCTTCCTTATCTTTCTTGTGAGGATTCCCATATAAGATTTTTCATAAGAAATAGACTTTGTAGCCAAAAGGTTTCAAAACACTTACCATGGTTTGGGAAAACAAGCAGAGAGAAAAACAAGAATCCTTCTTCTCAGAGAAAGAAGTATTTCAGTGGTTCTTAGGCACGCCTGTTTTTCTTTCCTTATATGAGAGAAGGGTCTCACACTGGGAGGGTTAGGAATATCAGTATTTATGAAGGGTGGGTTTCTGGATTAAAGTTCACTTGCACAGAGGATAGAAATGGAAGATTGCCACTGATACAACTCAGTTTTAGGAATGAAGTTTTCAGTATGTTATGGACCTAACAATGAAAGACTTGGGTTTCTTATCTGGTACTTCTTAGCCTCCTTAGTTTCTTACTTTCTCACTTTCTAATAAATTTGGCAGGTTACTTTCCACATGTGCAGGTACCACTTTGCTCATCACTTAGATCACATGGTTTAGACTCAATAATTTCTGGATTGTATGGATTTTCAGGCTTGACCAAGCATTGAGAGTAACTACCAAGACAGCCGTGGGTCTCACATCAGTGGCTTCACCAGCTGAGGCCTTTTCTGAAAGTCTCAACCCAGACTGACTGAATTGGTAATTTTGAGGATGGTCTCAAAGAGCCATGGTCCTGATTCACACTGAAATTTGAGAATCGTTGAACTAGAATGTCTCTGAACATTGAGGACAGATATCAGCTAATACTTAAGCTATATCTACTTCATAAAGTAGGCAAACTTGGGGGCTGGGGAGATAGCTCAGTAGAATAAGTGCCTGCCTGGCAAGTGTGAGGTCCTGAGTTCAATCTTCAATACTGAAAAAAAAGTAGACAAACTTGTTTGGAAAGAGAACATGAGGTGAAAGGAAAGAAAGACTTCTTCTCCCAGAGTCAGGTAAAATTTATGGTCAGAGAACTGGGAGAAAGCTGCTATTTTGGCATGTGTTCTCTAAAGAGAAGAAAAGGCTTATTTGAAAAATGTATACATTTCTTTCCTTTTTATGTATTTGATTTAGGGTCTGCAGGTTCTATAGGGCCTCACTACATAGATTGGACTCATAGTTATTCTCCTACTTTCAGCCTCCAAAGCACGAGGATTACAGGCGTGCACCACCATGCCCAGTCTCAATGACCATCTTGAACCCCAGCCTCTGTGCTCTGCCTAAGCAAGTGCTTTAGTCTGCTGAGCTATCTGGCCAGCCCTGAAAAATGTATAAATTTCTAAAGGCTTTGAACTTCTTGAAAAACATGCTATGGGACAGTCTGGTCCTTTGAAAGTGGACCTCTTCATTTCTAGGCAAACAAAATGAGTACGAATTTGGAAGACTTGAGATGCATCATGGACACTAGCAGCTCCCTACGATGAGCATAACCATTGTGCACTGCTAACGCACACCAAGAAACATAAAAATTTCAAAAGACAATTTGGGAGCTAGAACTTGGATCACTTTTGATCTGCCGAAGGGGCACAGGTTCTAGAAAACAGCATTCGAGAGTAAATTTTGTTAGACATCTACAAAACCTTATATGTCCTTAGGATTCTGGAATGAATATTGTGGGGATAGTCCAATTAATCCTAAGCACAATTTGGCTCTGTCTTTTCTAAAAGAGCTGTTTCCTTGTTCACCTAGCCTGGAGCCATAGAAACTGCCGTGGAGGACTTGAAAGGCCACATCTCGGAGACTGTGGGAGAGACCATCCAAGCATTCTGGCTCTTGACTCAGTGAGTATTTACGGCCAAGGGAATGATACTAGAAATAGAAGGTTTTTTTCTTTATATCACTGTAACAAAAAAAGGAGATGACTCTGTGATATTATTGTTGTACAATATAAATGGCAAACTCCACTGAGGGAGTCAAGTTTCCTGTGGCTCAGGGCAGATAGATGGCCAGATTTGACTCCTAGAGCTGTTTTCCAGGTTGACCCTATCCCTCAGCTGTCGCTGTGATTACCTCAGGTCAGTCCTGCATCAATTTCCCGCTGACCATTGTCTTAGCTTCCTAACCTTTCAGTCACAGTCTGTCTCTTTTATAAGCACTCTCTCTATAATCACATTTTGGAACTAGTCATTCTCTTCTAGGTGCAGTAGAAAAATTATGTAGGAAGGCATTACGGCTGTGTCAGTACATCTCCTCAGAGCTGAGGGGCTC